TTCCAGTATTTCAAGGGCAGTCTTCAATTTGCCTAAGGTTGCGTAGGGAATTTTACTACACCCATGCACCATTGGTGGTACCGCTGGGTGAACATAGATGTAGTGGGTAGCAGAAGATTGGTAACCCTTCGAAAATGTCCAGGTGTAGTTTGAGAAGGTTCGCCTTGGCTGCAGGTGTTGTCAGGGCCATTCCATGGATTCTTCTGATGAGGTCTGAGATAGTGCATGCCACCCTATCAACTACTGGTGGGTCACTATTGTCGGTTATGTAAACATTTAAATCACATTCATTTGCACCAGATTTGCAGTGTGCAATGATTGCACCTTTTGGTTTGATGCGTGCACTGCCAAATGCAACTAATGGAACATGAGTTTGAGTCTTACCTACTTTTCCTTGCAAAGCCTTTGCTACATCTACTGGAATAGTGTTTGCTTCTGCTCAAGTATCTAACTTAAAATAAACTGGCAAGCCAGCAATCATTACTGTGCTATACCAGGCATTCTGGTTATCAAAGTTTTGTGAGTGCTGCTGTGAAGACATTGTGCCCATATATAGGGTACTGACTCATTTTGCAGACTCTGGAGCCTCTCCCTTTGATTTGCACATTTTTGCAAAGTGGTTCACTCCAGAGCATTTGTAACAAGTTTCTCCAAAAGCTGGGCAGGATCTAGGCTTGTGTGCGCTTCCACACCGTTTGCAAACTTTGCCCTTTGCAGCTTGATGGCCCTCCTATGGAGCAAACTTCATTTGTGGTTTGCTTTGCTTTTGCAAAGTGCTATGGCAGTTTTGCTTTTGCTCCACTGTATGCGAACTTGCTTCAGCAGACATAACAGGAGCCTGAGCACATGTGAGAGCCACCCCCTACACATTACCACTGGTCTCAGCTGCCTCTCCTCACCCTGGTGATGGCCAGTAATATGTCTGACATAGATATCCCTTGATCACCTGATAATGTCAGGTAACGAGGGTGGATTTTTAATCCATCCATGTTTAATTAATGAAGTTTCATTCATTAAGACTCCTCCCCTGTTCAACACCCTGCATCTGCCCCAGCTATTCCAGCGGCACCTCTGACTGCTCCTCTGGGGACCATCACTAATGCTTCTGCCTTCCCCATCCCCAGGTAACACCTGTGCTGGCCCCCCTCATGCTCCCAATAGCAGGCTCTGTGACAAGCACATTGCAGCCTGGCTCCTTTCCTCCACACTCAGAGGCTCCTATGGCGCAGTCTGATCCAAAAGTGAATGTAGCCACACCAATGCATCCTGTCGGGATCCACCCATTCCCAAGCATCCAATGGGTGATGCATGTAAATGGCCAGATAAGAACTTACGTTTCACCTTCACAGCAACTCTTTATCTAAAGCTTTCTGTGGATAAGGGGCTTTGGTGCCTCAGCTAATGAGCTGAGTACAAGCTGCGTTCTTGGCTTTAAGATGCAGGGTATTGTTCTGATTTCTTTTTCTTGTTTGTACCTCAGCATATGGCTACTAATTTCTTATGATAACAAAAATGTTATGAAAACAAGAGTAATCTTTTAGCGTCAGATTAAGTGTGATTTCAAAGCACTTGACCAAACAAGCAGACCTCTTCTAGAAAGGGGGGAACCATCTTTTCTGTTCATGTGACCAGACAAGGCTGTGATTTTTCCAGCTGGAAAAAAAATCTCCTCTACTAAGGACTGGCAAGACCAAAGTGAGGCAGGGAAAGTTGAGGCACCATAGGTCAGAAATGTGACCTTTTTAGCACGACAATCTGTCCTCAGTGCTCAAGCAGCAGGTGGCAGAAAGGGATGCAGGGTTAAAGGGTACCCCAGGAGATGTGAAAACATCTGTGGACTTGAAAACACCCCTGGCTGCAACTGGGACCAGGATGTGTCATACTAAGTCCCTTTTTGGATGCAGATTTTCTGAGGCAGCAGCAGAGTCAAAACTTTTTTGTGGCAAAACCATTAGAGGAGTTCTCACAGTAGAGCCTGTCCCCCGTCCTCCTCTCCCCACCCCCCAAATGCAGCTTGTGTAAACGTTCTCTACACTAGAGAGCTTGTTCCACTTGAATATGGGCAACTGTACTGCTTATACAATTTGCTCCTGTAAATTATGTGTGCAGACAGAACTGCAGCTCCAAGCTGTAACTCAGAAAGGTTTTTGCAAAGAAGTTCACTGTTGGTTCAGGGGAAAGGGAAACCTAGCTGGGCTGGGAGCCTGCAGCCAGGTTCCCATGGCAATGGCCAGGCTCTCTGCCAGTGCTCCATTTTCAGAATGGAAGAGGGGAAAGGCAAGGGAGGGAGCTCTGGTAACAAAGGGTGGGGTGGGTGAATTGAAGCCATCCCCACCATAGGGATGGGGTTGCAATTCACCTGTCCCCCATCCTTTGATGGGGAGGAATGAAAACCCCCCAGACTGAACTCCCTTGCTCCCTTTCTTTCCTCCCATTTTGAAAATAGGCTGGGAGCTCAGCAGACACAAGTTACAAAAGATGTATTTTGTAACATCTTTATCTTTAACCTCAATGAAGGGTCAGGTTTTCACTCAATCAGCCATTTTTAAGCTGTTGGCACCCATGTGTTTGTGTTTGGTCATAGCTATAAACTGCTTTCTGTGGCCAGATCAGATGAAAATTGTCACTTCTGTCTGTCTGCACCCTATGCAAAGTAATTTATGCTGGTTTCACTGTGCCCACACCACTGTTCAGTAAAAACAGACACAATCAGGAAAAGGCAAGTTACTGAATTAGATGACTCCTTGAAAGAAACATGAGCTTCTGCAGACTACAAAAGTACATGCCTTTCTGAATTAGTTCATTGATAGTGAACAGAACACGTTAGCCTCTTGGGGGAGCAAATCTTAGTCTGGGTTCTGCCATTTTTAAACCAGTCTGTGCACCAAATTTATGTTCTGTTATAGATTTAAACTAGTTTTGTATGCCCAACTTCTGTTCTGTTATGGGTATAAACCAATTTCCAATCACTTATACTGGTAAAACTGTAATGTCTGTACCTGGCCCAAGTTGCCATTCTGACCCGCTTTCACACTATGAGGACTAACTACATCTCTCTGAATTAGCTAAATTGGTACAACATCAGAGCTTAGACCAGGATTAATACACCAAAGGAGCTAGGTTCTTGATACAAGAGGGACCGATGAGTGTTTGACTTGTTCAACTTGAGGCAGAACAGGGCTACAAGCAATTTGCATTAGGGCATTCTAACAGACATTTTAATGCAGCTGAGAGCTGTGATGGGCTTTATTCAAACAGTATCTTTAACTACTACTGTCTTCAACATTCATACTTGCTTTTTTAATTGGAAAAACCACCTAAAAACAGTACCAGAAAATATTGATTGTAAGAGTAAGAGCAAATGCAACCACGAGCTGATAGAGATGTTACATTTGGTGGCAGGTTATCCTGGATGGGGTAGGAGAAGTTGCTGGCCCCAACAACCTTACCTGGGGGCCTTAGGGAGCTGCAGCTGCAGCAGAAAGACCGGCTAGGAGTCAGAATGTGCCTCCGGCCAGCCAGCTTCTGGTTTTGGGTGGCTTTGGGAGGCACATGCTGCCATCTCATGTGCCAACCCCCTTTTTCAGCGTGGGTTTTTTCAATCCTGAGATCTGCCAGGGTCAAAAAACCATCAAGGTAGTAGTGTAGGGAATGCCTACATGTGTGTTTGGTGCCACAGATGGGTCTTCAGCACCACATACCGCACATCTATGCTCATCTGGATGTGACCTAAGTGTCCACATCAGGCCTTAACACTCTGCTAGTACTCTGTAAAAAAAGAAGAAAAAAACACACAAACCACCCCACCACCTTCTAGCTTACTGTGCACCAATGTTACCCTTTAGAAAGGGTAGAATACAAAGCAAATTTCAAATAGTGGCAGAGAACAGGAGATGGACTTGAACACAGTATTCCAAGTAATACCACCGTAAACACTGTGAGCATCAGAATATGAATTTCTTGGACTCATAGCTGCTTATAATGGCACGGATGCTCTTCATAAGCAGATACAAAAGTAGAGGCAAAAACCAGAAGTTTTGACTAGATTATTTTCTATCCTTGGACATAAGCATTAAAAGAAAAAAAAAAAACAACTATCAGGCCCAAATAGGGTCAAGGAGAAAAATGGGGGCTTTTTAATAACTTGTGTGTAATACTGCTCATCAGATGTTTGGGACATTTTAGATTCTTTGTCAATTGCATTTTAGCTTCCATAAATGATCACTGAATTGAGAATACAATAAAATTGGAAAAGACTGGCATATAAATAGAGAGACTAATATGCTATTTCAGGGCTTTATTTTAGCACTTTCTTTTAAGAGGTGCTAAGTACTGCTCCACTGACTTCCACAGAGTTAGGAATCACAAACAAGGACCAGAAGAGCCTATAAATGATAACTTATTCCGATCATCTGCATGGACACAAACCATAGAATTTCACTCTAATTCTCACATTAGCCCAGTAATTTGTGGTTAGGTTACAGCTTCTTTTACGGGAGAGACAGAGATACCTAGTCTTTATCTGAAAGACTCCATCAGAAGTAATGAAGAATTTGCCACATCCTTTTACAATTTAATGATCAGTTATTCTCAGTGTTTAGTAAGTGTGTAAAGCCCATAAAGCTAATAGCTAAGCCATCATTTGAAAGGAGCAAGATTAGACCTAATGTGTAAATATGTTAGCAAATCAATAGCATATCTTAACCAGCATGGGCAACTGGTGCCTCCTGAGTCTGGGGGGGACACCAGATTGCTGATGGGGGTGGGAGGAGGTCCCCCAGTGGTCAATTGCCGAGCCAGCAGCAAAACTGGAAGTGTACTTCCAGTTTCACGACTGATGCTTCCAGGGGTGCATGGCTGATCTCAGGGGATGCACATGCACCTTACTCATCGCCAGTGCTAACCAGCCTCAATGTAATCAAAAGGGCTCAGTACATTTTCTTCCCTTAGTAATACAGATGCTTCAAAATATTTTGAACAAAGAAAAATAAAGACAGGGAAATATTTAAATGTATTTTAATTATTTTTTAAATCTCTGACTTAAGTATTCTCCCCAGGTAGCCAGATATTTCATTTGCCTTTCTATCTCTAACCAGGCACATCTAGGCCATGTCAAAATTTTAGACCCAGCCTTTCATTAATACGGTAAGAGATCAAAGACTAGTAGAAACACTGAGTACCCAAGGGGGCTACAAAGCAAAAGGAGGTCAGCTATATTCAGAACATTTTTTTTTACTACATTGCTTAGAACTTTCTAACTCTGAGTAGCAAGCCATATTAGAAAGCAATTAAACTGGGAGTTCACGAAGCAGATATGTTGTAAATCTTCCAGGTGAGGTTGAAATCACACACGAGACTGTTCTTCAGCTTATGAAGCTTGTGGTTTTATCTTCTCAGCAGCTTCAAGGACAGATGGAAGGCTCACTTTGTCCCCAAATTCTTTCTCACGATGCTCTAAGAGGACACCCTGGTTAGAATAAGAGGACAAATGTATAATGAATCCTTTGTGTGGTGATATGTTTGAATTTTCACATGTAGGAATGAAAGTCACTTATTGCTTTCCATGTGAAGGAACAGGGGAGAGGTTTCATGGTCTCTAAGAAAAAATATGGTCCAGCTCCTCAGATATAGGAATATCAAGAGACAAACCACATTATTTTTTCTTCTTGTAATTAGTAATGTAGTTCTATATGAGTATGTAGTATGGCATTTTCCTATTAAACTCGACAGAAGTGAACAACTTTAAATTTCCAAGATTACAGGACCTTCACTGGTTCTAATCTAGGCTATTTGGCTAAACATGGTATTGTTAATTCACATATCAAACATTTTGCTAAAACAGAATTAGGAACACAGAAATAGAAGGGGCCTTCCAGGCCACCAAGTCCAGTCCTCTGCATTAGTAAACAATTTGCTGCCTACTTTATTAAATTAATAATTTATATTCCAGCAGCACTCATTTCTAGGCAATTTCCAGAGAGCTAGATATAGACTGACATGCTCCCAGCTGCAAATGTGGGTGTGGATGTTCACTTGTCTGCATACTGCATACACCCTATTCCAAATCTCGCTTTTCAGATCTATGCGATTTCTGAACAAGCAACTGTTTCTTGGCAGCAACCATCACCAAAGGCTACGTGTCAAAAAGTGTACTCCAGAAAGCATTAGTCACAAGTTGGACGTGCTTTAAAAGAACTTTTTTTTTCCTTCCAAATAAAGTCTTGACATCTCATCTAAAAATGAATTAGGTTCCCTCCAATGTTGTCTCAAGTTGGACATACGAAGAAAGGAAGAGTAACTGGTCACTATTCATAATTTAGGCAAGGGGGTTTTGCTTTAAAAAAAAAAAAAAAAAAAAAAAAAAAAAAAAAAAAAAAAAAAAAAAAAAAAAAAAAAATCAAAAGCTTTGCAAAGAGTCTATTCTACATTTTTTCTCCATGCTCTTTATTTTTGTCAGACTGTTTCATAAAACTTAAAATTAAAGGCTTTATCATGCTATAGTTAAAAGCTGGATCAAGTTAGAAAGCTGGACCTAAAGCCTACTTTTCCCCAAGTTTGCATTTACACCTGTATCCTGACAGTACAGACATGAAATGGTCAAGAACATGCATCACACATTTGATTTAAGGGGTACAGGGGTTCAGAAATAATTAAATGCTGTGAAGGAGTATCTACTTGTTCATTCATGTTTTTAAACAATACCAGGTTAGGACTGAGATTCCATATCTTCTCCCTCCCACCCCTCTTCCCACACCGATAATGTGTAAAGCTCATTTATTTGGTATAAATCAAGTGCTTCTACACCAAAGTTAAAAGTAAGTCATGATCGAGTTCATCACCAGCAGTATACTGGTTAGTTGTGTGTAAATCAAGCGTACTTTAAGAAGCTGAGAGCTCATCAATCAAAAAGAAAACCTCTTACAGGTTAAAATGTCTGGAAGTAAATGTAAGACTATTTAAATAATATTTTGTTTCATAATGGCAGGGAGCTGAACAAACTGTGCATCAGGGAATGTGAGTGGAAGGTATTCTGTCAACATCCTACAAAGAAAAAAAATTCCCAAAAGAACATAATGCAAGGCAGATATCTGACATCTCTGGCTGTCATACAACTTTAAGAGTGACCAAGGCAGAAGGCCTTTCGGCTCAGGAAACATTCAGTTGGTGGAAAACCATGACAAAGCCCCTAAAGACCCCTTCAGTACCTGTTTCCCAGCACCCATCACATAGACTCCTCCCAAAATGACCCCTTCTCCTTCCAGGTTACCACTGAACCCATTTTTCCAAGCACGGAGGAAGTTCTGCCAGACTCCTACACGGATAAGACCCATGAACAGCATTTTTCGCTTGTGAGGACCATAGAATTTTTTCTGCAGAAGGAGAGAAAGAAAAAGAAAAAAAAAAAAAAATTAAAAAAAAAAAACAGCAGAAGGGAAGAAAAAAAAAAAAAAATTAAAAAAAAAAAACAGCAGAAGGGAAGAAAAAAAAAAAAAAATTAAAAAAAAAAAACAGCAGAAGGGAAGAAAAAAAAAAAAAAATTAAAAAAAAAAAACAGCAGAAGGGAAGAAAAAAAAAAAAAAATTAAAAAAAAAAAACAGCAGAAGGGAAGAAAAAAAAAAAAAAAAAAAAAAAAAAAAAAACTTAAAAAGAAAAGCAGCAGCAGCAGCGAATCTAACAATTACAGGGGGAATTAAGGCATCCTGCCAGAAGCTACATCCAGGATGGTGTCTCACTAGCAATATTTGGATACAACAGAACTGAATGCCAACTTTTTTTATCTAATCAGGACAGAAGTTTCTTTACAACTCTAACAGGCCACCTACTTTCAAGAGTCAGAAATATACAACTTCCTCCCTTGCCAGGTCTCCAACCCCCCAAATTACTTGCATTCAAGATTTAGGAGACTGAACACTATGCTACATTTGCACCATGAATACTTTGACTACTGACTTTAGCAATGATTCTGAAATAAAACAGGTTTGTTTTGAACAGCACAGCACTTTCAAGTGCTTGAGGGAGTGTGGGGTTGCCAACTCCTGTGAATTAAAATCACAAGTCTTATATTTGCTTTTCCTAAAGCCTCTGCAATCATGCACTTTAGAAATCTCAGGTCTCATTTAAGAGGAGGCAAAAATAAAAAGGAAAGTTTCTAGATGTCATGGTTGCACAGAAAAGACAATAGTTAATAAACAGAATACCTCAGTATAAGAAAAGATTAAGTAGCACAAGGGGCAAAAACAGTTATCAGCTTACTGTGTTAGGGTGCAGAGGGGAAAAGCATGCAAGAACATGTCAACAGTACACAGCTAGAAGACAGATTATAAACTGACTATATATAAAAAGCAGATGAACTTTTTAACCTGCAATGCCATTAAGTCAATTGCCAAATTCAGACCAGATTCTATTCTGGCAGTTGAATTTGTGGCTATTCTCTACAAGTTTCTTCAAGCAGAGGGCTGCACACCTCTTGCAAAATACAAAGTAAGTAAATCTCTTCATACCTTTTCATCCAAAAAGATTTCCCCTTTGAAATAATGCTGAAAATCCTCCACTTCAGAACCAATCTTCTCTTTCACAACAGCGTAAAGGGGGACACCCAGCTGGTCAAGCTGAGGTTTGAGAGAGGAAAGCTCAGAAGCCTCCTAAAAAGACACAGAAAGCATTTCAGCCTTTGAACGGAAGTCTGAAAGAGCTTCACTCAGAGAAGGACATATCTTTGCCAATATGTTAATATAAGGGCAGGCAAGGCTAAACTAAACTAGTGTTTTATTTAAGAATGCAACTTAGTTTTGGGAGGACATAGTCATTGCATGGTTGTGTGCAAGTCCACTGAGTTCTCTTAAAGGTTTAAGGGAAGTTACATTCTCACTTTCAGCTTGCACAGCTGAATCCAATCAGCATTTCCTCTATGAACACCTGCAGGGCACCAAAGTTGTGTTGCTTTGTCTCTCCCTCTGTCTGAGTAACATTTATGGATTTTCACTGCAGGAGACCTGTATACAAAAGTTGGGAGGGAAGAAAGGGGAAGTTTTTCCAGTTTCTTCTGGCTTCTTCTGCCATCTCCAACAGGAAACAGATGTGGAAAGAGAACAACTGAAGGGCTTCTATTGTCTCTTTCGAAGTTAAGGAATAATCTCCCCCTACTGTGCAAAAGAACTCTTACAGAACTCTTACTGCTTTAAACACCTCTATCTAAATACACCACTTATGAGGCTGAAGCAGCTTGAAGCACCTTGACTCTGTAAGAACAACATTCTATAGTATCTGTATAATTTAAAGCAGGAGTTCCAAACAGAATTACTCAGGGAGAGACAGAGGGGAGAATTCATAGATTGATAGAGAGAAATCAATAAGCAAAAGCAAGTATGGGTAATGATAATCCCTGTGTTGCAATCTACTACTGCCAGTCCTATATCAGGAAGCTCAGAGAAGACAGAGACAATGAATAAGGATGAATAAGCATTGTGACAATCTGTGAGTAACAAATGGGAGACATTTCATACTCCCATGTTTCAGATATATGGTTCCGAGATAATAGTTAATACCCTGTAGTCCTATTTACAATGTGCTATTAAATTTTTCCTATTTTTCTAGGCCAAACACGTGCATTCTAAAATAATTTAAAAATCCAAAAGAAGCATGCTAACCACCAGGAGCCACATAGAACTCATTTGTTCTATGATAAATAGCCAAAAAGTCTAACACACAATGCTTTGGGCCTTTACCATGCCAGTGTCTCTAAAAACTAACACCCCTCCAATAATCAGGAACCTTTCTAACCCTCATTAGACCTTGGTAGAAGAGAAACCCTACCATTTGGTTAGAACTGTCTTTTGATGGATAGAGATTAAGGGTCAGAACATCCTTTGTCATATGTGCCTTTGCAAGCGAATATGGTGGCATCAAATGCCCCCTTAACTTTCTTATGCAGGATATGTACACCGTGGACATGAATGGTAGTGCCCAGTCTGCACAGCTCCAATTATCCCTCTTATGAAGGCAGGCACACAGAGGATGGATACCACCTTCACTCTGTTCTTCCCTCCAAGCCAGAGAATCTCTTAAACCAAAAGCATACATCAAAACTAAATTACTTCTTCCTGCACCAGACAAGAGGGAGCCAGAGAGAAGAGGTATAGGCAAAGGCCCCTTCCTGGTCTGCTCCCCGAAGAGTGTAGCATTACACCACCTCTTAATCTACAGCAGGGTGTTCAACCTCCAGCCCTCAGGCCAGATGCAGCCCATAGTACTGTATCATCTAGACCATGAGGCTCCACAAAGGTCTCGAAATTTTGCAGTGGGATTGTGGGGGTACTTCTCCCTTGCTGTCAAATCTCTGGACCCACAGGAAGCCCCAGGCCCTTCATGCTAGATTCAGTACTCTATCCCAGAAGGCAGGGGCAGTACCAGGCCCCCAGGACCCAATCCCAGCACAAAGGGTATGGGAAGGGCAGTGCCAGCCCCATAGGATCCAATCCTGATGGAAGACAATGGGAAGTGGTAGCTCTAGCCCCCAAGAACCCAATCCAACACATGGGAGGTGGCAGTGCCCCAGAGGCCTATTCAGCCCGCAGATCCAGCCTGTACCACTCACCTGGCCTGCAGGCCCAGAAGGTTGAGCACCACTGGTCTAGACTAGTGATTCTCAACCAGGGTGCCATGGCACTCTGGGGTGCCTCAAGATCCTTTCAAGGGTGCCACACAATGGTAGCACCATGAGGTTTGTTAACATGATTCACAAAGTACACCAAGAGAGTTCAAATAGGAATTCAATGTTAAAATGTTGTGTCCTGTTATTTTTCCAGGTTCTTTACATCAGAAGAATTGTTCTATTATTTTTCTGTAGCCAAAAAATGAAAGAAAACTAAGAGCTGGCATTTTCCAAGCGGTGCCTTGAGTCTAAAAAAATTTAAGAACCGCCAGTCTAAAGAGTACAAATTTACCATTTCTAGAATACCTAAGATATACTGTAGATGCAGTTTGGCAAAGCAGTGGTTAATACCAACTTCATTTTTTCCCCCACACCTACTGCAAAATGCAAACCCCTCCCTATTGCCTTCTTTCTGGTTCTGATAAGCAAAATTAGGGATTGGTCCCAGACTGTATTTTTATCTCCACACCACATACCCAAACTTCATCTTAATTATACCTACATTTCATTACAATAAGTTCCTTATTGTAGAGGGATGGAATAGCTTCAGAAGACAGATAAAATATAGTTCCTATCACCTCTAACTCACTGGCTCAAATCTACTCCAAATGCACAAGTTCTGGTTCTCAGAGGTGCTAAGTAAGACTTCAGTTAGATTTATGGCAACTCTAGGATTAAATGGTATTGCAGCTTTGTACCTATGTACAGTAAAGAAGGGGCAGTCTTGGTCTCAAGTTTCCCAGACAAAAAATGTACTCAGTATGAAAACCCATCACACTGCAACTGAGACCCCTGTCACCCACAGTGAAATCAGAGCAAAGATTAAAGGAGAATTCTTTTCTGTTGCACAATTCAGTGATTGCCCTTTGGGTTTGGAAAAAACACCCTTTCACTGAGAAGTATTAAGTGCTCCATCTGGGGAGGAAAAATCCACAACAAGCTTACAGGCTTGGTGGTGCTACACTAGCTAGCACCACATTTGAAAGGGACCTGGGGGTTATAATTGACCATAAAATGAATATGAGCCACCAGTGTGCTGCTACGGTTAGCAGATTAAATACACTGGCATGCATCAACTGATGCATCTCAAGCAAAACTAAGGAAGTTATTCTCCCGCTCTACTTGGCATTGATGAGGCCGCAGCTGAAGTACTGTGTCCAGTTCTGGGTGCCACACTTCAAGAAGGATGTGGAGAAGCTTGAGAGAGTCCAGAGAAGAGCCACTCGTATGATCCAAGGCTTGAAGAGCAAGCCATTTGTTCCCAGTCAGCCATCTACACGTGCCGTACTGCGCAGTAATTACTCCCAAGTAAAATGTACCACTTGTATTTACAGGCAGCAAATTTACTCATGATTAGAGCAAATTACTGCACAGTAAGTATCTACATGTGTAGACAATGATACTTACTGCACAGTAATTTGCTCTAATCTCAAGTAAAGTGCCACATGTAGATGTGCTCTGTTTAATTGAGCAATGAGTAATAATACAATTGCTATGGGGCATGGAAAGTGGCCAAAATGCAAGTGATAACTGTTCCCAGGCAGGTTTTGTATCAAAAACAGTATCTTTCCTTAGATGTTTCTCTCTCTCTGTCAAGTTTCCCTCAAAATGTGATTCATCAAGAATACTGACATAAAGGGCACCATTCTATATGCCAAGATTCACCTCACTGAACATTAAACAAAAATATGAGAGTGAACAGCAAATATATAAACTGGGTTTGTCCTCCTGTTCTACAATGGGGCTAAAGAAGAATCTTGCCCATAATATGGCAAAGTGGGGATCAGGATAATAAAGATCCCTGTCAGGTGGGACAGAAACACAATCAGAGTTAGAGAGACTATTTTCAGATATGCAGAGCTTGATGCATTCTTTGAAATCATCCCCCACACCCACCCACAATACCTCTCTGCACAAGAATCATCCAGGTCTCCGCACAGCCATGATGACTGAACCATTCTTCTTCCACAGATCACCAGCTCTGAAAGTCTCTTGTTCTGTTCATATAAGGGAAAAGACCAGCATAAACAACAGCATCTGTTCCAGCCTGTTTATATGAGTAAGGCTTCTAAAGAACAACACTAAGAATAATGGAAAATTCCAGGTTCAATATTTAAAAAAGAAAAGAAAGCCTGAAAGGCACAAAAAGGAAGATAGATGCTGACTATCTTTGTGTCCTACTGATTTTTAAAGCGTAGAAAAGAAGTCCATTAAAAATATTGCTGATATCAAAAATGCCTTGAATATTTATCACCTTTTATTTAACCAATACCATCCTCCCCTTATTTTCTTCATTAAAAAGAATCAAGTACTTCCCACGACAGTTGCTGAGTCACGGAAATGCCAGGAAAAAGTTGTTTGCTTTCCCCCCTTACTTTCTAATAAATGGAATAATGAGGCTGTGAAAATGAAGTCTTCAAACGCTCCACTTTTCTTCAAACAGTTCTTTAGTTCCAACCCTCGCCTTGCAGTTTGAACTAAAGGAAAACCTCTTTACCATAGAATCTCTGCTCAGGTATCTGGAATTAAAATTTCTTACCTGGACCTAGAGTTTTTAACTCTATTTCCTCTAAAAACTCCACTGTAGCCTTCTCTGGTTTGGACAGAAGTAAGTCAGTGTTAGCAAGGATTATTCCCGTCACAGCTGCACCCAGAGCCCCAAGGCCAATGGACCATATCCCCATGGCAAAGAGCCCAAAGTCAGGCACACTAGACATTTCTGGAAATAAAGAAGGAAGAAAAAAATATTTCAACTCTTCGATAAATTTCAAATCACAGAGGGAGAGAGTGCGTATGGAGGCAGGGGTGGAGGGGAGGAGGGAGGTTGGTCATAAGAAAATGACGTTAACCCTGTTTTGACATGGATAGACTGTTTAGTGATAAAGGCACTGGACTGGGTTCAATTATTAGGCTAATTTCTGCAATGCATCACTATTGATAATGAGGGATTCTTAGCTTTTTGCCTCAGAGATGTGATAGGAATGAAGCTATATTAAAAGCCTTGAAGTACTCTGTATGGTTGTGAGTGGCATAAAACTGTCTGTATAGGACAATTGCTAAAGGAGATAATTAATCTCTTTGTTACTAGAGTTAAAGTTAGTACAACTCGGTCATCAAACCATTACTGTAAGATACAGGAATTGTTTAAAATAAAAGATGGTTGATAGGACAAAAATGAGATGGCTTGTATGTCTATTAACACACAGAGGATTTTGCCTACACTCTTCAGCATATAAATAAGAGAAAGAACAAAACGAATCAAAATGCAATATAGCGTTTTTTTCAGGTTAGCAATAAAACCAAAAACAGAGGGAGGTTGTGTAAAAGCAGTAGAAAACCACTCTTTTAGCTAGAAGCAGTGCTGCAAAAATATTAAAACCTTTAAACATACTATCACACTATGACCCAGCACCCCAGACAGCCCTGGACAAATGCTAAGGCTTTAGGATTTTAGCCAAAGCAGTCATATATCATTATCTCACACTGACTTTGTATCAGGAACAAACAACTTAACTTTAGTTTGTTGGCCAAAATAAAATTGCATTAGAAACAAATGTGTTTGCTCAGTTCTGTTTAAGATGTTCTGCCAATCTCTCTACCTAGAGCAGTTTTATTAGCAGCTAGACATAGCCTCCCTACAGGCACCCCAAACCCTTTCTGAGCCTTGTCAGTCAAGGAATCAAAATGTCTTCTAAATGTTCCATTCAGAGAGGAGTTATGAAATCTGCATAGCAGCACGCACAACCTTTGCTAGTGGGCAAAACGGTGAAATCTCGCCAGTGAACTACAAACGGTAAGAGAAAAAAGGTTTATTGGATTTTTTTCAGGGAGAGATTGCTACACACTTTCACCATAATAACTTTGTCCTTAATTCCAAAGAACTTCACAGTCACAAAACAAACAGTTGAATTCTGTCTGCATCCATCCACAAGCCGTGTTTCTGGATTGGCTTTTCTATTGCTATGTTAAAGATTATTCATGCAAACAATAACGTCTCTGTTGAACAAAAGAAAAAAAATACAACTAAGCTTTTTGAGATTTTCTTAGTCTCTTTCTTCCCTCTCCCAAAATGTGCTTATGAGTAGTATCTAAAAAGTTCACCAAATAATTATTTCTGTATTCTGCATTTCTGAAAACCTGTTACACTTTGGACAGAAGCCTTTTTATAGAAATGGAACTTTTCCTGCCTCCCTTTAAAGCCAACCCCAAACTCCCAATTCTGTAATTACAGATTTGCAAAAGGACTGGCAAAAAGAGACTGCTAGAACTCTAAAATATTGTTTTGTTCTTTTTGTGACATTCAGTATCAAGGAATACTAGCCTTAGCTATCTCACATTTTCAGATACTGAGTGGAAGACAAGGCCAGTTTAAACAAACTTAACTACAGATAAATGAGAAAGATCTAGCCAGTTTTCTTCTTCTTTTGTATGTAGTAAAATCTTGGCTTATTGCTAATCTTACTTCTCCAACACTGTTTTCAGACACGGTGACTTCCTAATCAAAGGCCACAAGACAACAGCATTTTTTTAAAATCAGTGCTCTCCTACTCAAACTGGCCCAATGAGCTGATTTAGTTTATTGAGACTGCCTGGACCATTTTAGAGGGAAAAAAAGTCTGTGAACCCAAAAAAGAAGCCTAGCAGAGTCAATAATCTCTTCAAACTTGACTTTGGAAGCTGCCAAATCTTTTCTGCTGGATACAATGAACATTGAGGTGCATGTTAAAAAATTTGTTTTTTCTATGGATATACAGCTGTGCTCCCTTAAACTTGTCCCTACCATAACTGGTTAAGAATTATACCTTTTGGGTAGAAATGGTGTGTTTTTGCCTCTCTTTTTCCTAATCTATTAGTATTTTACCTGCGTGCAGTTGGCGAAAGCAAATATTAAGCCCTACCTGTTCCAAGCAGGAGACTTTATGACACCTGCAGCTCTCCTGTGTAATATGAATTTTCATTTCTACCTAGAAGTTTTACAATCTTTATAATCTCCTGTGCCTGAAAGCTTAAAATTAAAGAATTTTATTTTTGCAAATATCTACTTGGTCTAATAAAAGATATCACCTCTGCCATGAGTTTTGATTCCTTATGCCCTATCAGCTCTTATCTGTCTATGCAAAGAGATATATTTCACAATTCTTGATTTCTTGGCTGATTAGTGTTAGGCGCTGACCCAAGTTATTGCATTAAAATCTGCTCCTGAAATTTTCCCACAAACTGACATCAATCTTTGTTCACATCATACCTACAAACGGACATATATTCATCTGCATGTCATCGCCACTTCAAAAAGACAGGATCAGATCCTGTGAATGCAACTATGCTGATTTATACCTGCTGGATCTCTGAGCAGCAGGACATAAGTCTGCAATAAATTTGTTTTGGTTCTGATGGAAAACAAAGCTTTCAGCCTGACTTAAAAGATGTTTTCAGCTCAGAGGACTTTATTCTACTCCCTCTCTTTGCAGATTTACCTCCCCCCATCTTTGGTAAACTGGCTTTCTAAGAGTGGCCTCTCTCACAACTAAACAATCCAAGGCACAAATAAAATAGTTCCCTAAGTCCTGGCAGTCAGTAGAAAAGCATGCTAAATGCCTATGGCTTGATTACTAAATACACTTGTTAACAGCAGAGATGGAGTTTTAAAGCATCTGCTCCACTGAACATCAAGTCAGAGATAGCAAGATCATGAAAAGAAAAACTACCTATGCACGGTAGCACTGTTTCTTCTATTCTCACGTATTGTCTTCATCTGCTTTAATGAATAGCATTCAACAGAACTCTATAAATGCACAAACTCATGGATCTGGATCAAAAACTTAGTATTCTGGAAGTGCTGTATATATTTCCAGAATACTAATGCTAGAATATATATATTTGCTTTTTAGAGCAATACACTTACCAGCACTTATGCGTTAGACTTCCACACTCTCATCACCAGCTTTAAACCTGAACTCCGAGTTGGAATTGAATACAGGCAATCCAGGAGCAACAACAGATATGCAAGCTTATGCTGACACTGAAAATGATTCTTTAGCCTGCCTCCTTTTTGAAGGAAGAGTCAATGTGGGAAGGACTGGGCAGGATTCCAGAAAGGAAACCATTATGCAACTGCTAATGAGATGAACACATTTTTGACCACTACTCATTATATTAAGGGGAGCAGTTACAAGCAGACAGCTGTCCCTGAAGAGACAAGATGACTTAAAGTTACTCAGTTTATAACCTTCCAGCTACTTTCTTCCCACCCCCTTCCTTTTTAAATGTTACAGCTGGTGGGGAGTCTGGTATTACAAGTAGCCTGTGGGAACATCCTATGGATTTGCTACCAGGGATAGACTTGAGCAAAGGGTTCTGGGCCCCTAGGAAAAATATTTGAGGTAGACGTGTTCATATTCTCTCTCAGTTACCCTCCTCATTGCATAGTAAAGCAACATTGAAAGTAGTCAGCAGATAGCAATATTAGAAAGAAGAACCAACATGCAAGACCAAATTTGCCAAACCAATTGCCTAAATTAACCTATTAGGAGACATCAATTCTACTGATAGTGGCCTTTAAATCCCAGTTCATGGGTTTGCATCACTATATAACTTGAAGATATTACCATTTTTTATAAGCTCAGGGACATAAAAAACACTTTTCTTTAAAGGTATAAGTTGTAGCTGTGTTGGTCTAAGGACATATATAAACAAGGTTCTTTGGGTAAATCCAATATCTTTTATTAAACCAACTCAACTTTTCATTAACGTTAGGGTCAATCAACAATTTCACTTTTTTGTTATGCAGGGCAGGAGACTGACTGCATCTCTCATTAATACTGTCCTGCAGTGGAGTATTTTATGTTCTGTCTACACTGCATACCCTTAATGAACTTGAGCTCAGGTAATGCAATGATTAAATTGCCAACTGATTACTGGATAACATGGTTAGGGATTAAGTTGAAAGCAAGACTAAAAGAACAACCTTTTTTAGGCTACAGGTTGGGTCAGAGGCAGCACAGTAAGAAGTGCCCACAATCAGTCTACTGAAGCCCCATGTCTGCAGACTGGATCCAGCAGCTAACTCCCAGACTAAAACATTAGTCTCAAAAATGTCTCTCCCCTGACTTCCCCCTCCCACACAGACTGAAGACAACAATCCACAGCACTTTCAATTAGGTCACAATTATCTTTGATATAGTAATGTAAACAGGATCTAAAGGGCATTCACTATGGTAGAATCCAAAGCAGATGAGGTGTCAGCTTCTGAGTGGGGGGTGGTAAGAGCCAGAGAAGCATATGGTTTTAGAGTTACAAAACCAGTCATTTAAAAGCTTCATTCCCTCCCTTTTTCTCACTGAGCCAGAGGTTTAGGATTACTTCAAATGGTAGAAAAGAATTGAGATTAAACAGTCTGAATTGCCAAACCAAGCTGCCTCTGGCACCATCCCAAAGATACAAGGTACACACTGGAAAACAGAGCATCCTGTATCATGATTAAGGACCTACTGAAACTGTGAATTCATGAAATCTGGCATTGCCCACAAAATTGGCTAAAAGATGGAAGACAGGGAAACAAACAAAAATAACTTACTGAAAACATTACTGAAAACAAAATGCCGTCTCCAGTCAAGGCACTGTGGTAGCCCACCAGGGCAAGGGGGGCGTGGGTCTGCCTGCTTGAGGGGCTGCTGGGGGTGGGGTGGGGTGGGGGGGTATCGCACCCCACAAAATGACAGA